TCTCATTGTTTGTATAAAACATTTAAAGTTAGGGCAAAGAAGAATAGCAATCTTCGCTTGGCTTACAAGTTACAAGGAGCCTTTACTTCGAGCGGAGATTTCGATCAATCCTCTTCTTAATGGGCCGACACAAAAGCCCACAAGCCTCTATGGTGCGTGAGATTTTTATTTTTTTAATTAATTTAAAAAGACTCGAAGCAGCAACGTGGCGAGCATCGGTAGCTCCACGACATATGTACGAGAATGATGATAATTTTTTGTCATGGCTCGTTCCAGCCTGTTAAACGGTAGTCTGTGTCCGTACAGATTAAAGCTGAAGGGGAAATTAGTAAAATGACGAAGTTACCCATCCTGATCAAAAATAAAACGAGGGTAAAACCGGAACTTTCTTCTTATTAGACGACACAAACAACAACACCCCCTCGAGTCTCGTCATCACTCGTCTCTTCCACAGAGAGGTTTTTGCTTTTCGAAAATGGCGGCGATGAAATACAAAGGAAGCGTTTTTATCATCATCATCCTTCTTCTTTCTTCGTCACAGCTTTCTCACTCTTCTTCAACGAAATGTAAGTCGACTACTCTTCATAATAGTTTCATCTTTTCAATATCGTTTGGTTACAAAATATTGACTCTTTTCTGTTTCTTTTTACTGTTTCTAGCCTTCTTTTGGTTAGGAGAAACACAAGATATGAAACCCATGAAAAAGGTAAAATATTTCTTCCTTGTAATAGAAACACAATGATTTTTCTCTTAAAAAGGTGACTGATTTTTAATGCAACAAAAAAGGAAGAAACTTTTTTGTATTTGGTATTCGTTTTGTTATACATGTTCGTAAGGAAAAAAAAAATGATTTTTGGAAATTAAAAACAGGAGAAGGAGATTGTTGGAGAAAGCTATGAAAGATCAGCTAATGAAGTTGAAGGAAGACAAGTTCCAACTGGATCCGACCCACTTCATCATAACCAAATTCCATTTATTTCTTCTACTTCTCCATAGATTTAATTTGTTTCTTCTTTACATCTCTGTGTTTCTCATTATTGACAGATTAGTTTATAACACTTGTTCACGTTATTCCAGTTTTGGGGGTTTTTGCTCATCCGAATGTTAAATTTTATTTCAGTTTTCTTTAAAATGATTAACTTCGTTAATGTATATAGAGTTTCAAATTGAAGAACGTATGAAATCAATTTTTGTCATCATCTTGAGAAATGTTGTAGCCAAGATTTTTTTGTATATGTTTTTAGCTAGATGCCAAAACGTTTATTATTTGTACGACAATAATGATGATTATTTAATTTGTTGACCTTAAATCTTGGTTAAAACTTTAAATTGCATACCTAAATATTGGTCAAAACTTTAAATTACTGACCTTAAATAATGGTCAAATTTTAAGTCTAAAGTAAGTCATTGCAGAGTAAATGGAAACCAATTAAAGAGAATTACACCTACTTTATCAGACTATGAACATAGAATTAAAGTAGAAATCATAATTTGAAACTCATAATTGATATTTGCTCACTATATTTTGAACAAAAATCATGTGAAAGAAATAAAAAGGTAGTTTTAGAAAATGTGGTTCATACTTCATAGTGCAAATTATGATGATTAAAAC